TATGGTACTTTTCCATAAGGTCCTTGTTCATCTCGAAAGGCCAGTAGTCCTCATAGTACCTCTGCAGTTCTGGGGACATAGTTGCCACCATGATGCATGCCACTTTGGTAGCATCATCGTAATGTTTCTTGTAGGCAGCAAGATCTTCAGGAGTAGCTTCATTCTCATCAAGCTCTTTGAGCTCCTTTTCAAGAACATATTCTTTGTTCTCGAAACGAAGAGCCATCTTGATGTTGCGCATCCAATCGTTATAGTTTGAGCCATCCATAACGACTTTGGAGCATATATTGAGCAAAGAGAAGTTTTGGTTGGAGGAGGACGAAGCAGAAGTGTTTCCAGGAGTAGACATCTGAAAAGAAAGAAAGTTTTAGTTAGATTTCAAGATACCTTAATAGAATAACCCAAAGATATAATATCAAGGTTAGGATCCAACTATGAAGATTCACAACTTAGAAATGGGATGCCGAGATCCAAGTGCAAATTTCATAAAGGTAGGTGAATGACGATTCACCAATTCCACCATTAGACGAAACAAACGAAGTGAAATTCCTAATTCTTTTGAGATACATTGAAACTATTCAATGGCATGTTTTATCTCAGATTATGCTCTTCTATTTGTGACTGGGATGCCGAGGATCACAAACAAGATGTGAATAACCATGCAAATGTGCTTGGTAACCTCATTGTCTTTATCATTAACTATTGATGTGCTGGTAAACCACACACGCTCCATCAAAATGACAATTATGAGATACCCATTACTACTCTTTATTAGTGCCTTTTAGTGTGCTGGTTAACCACACACGCTCCACTAACGACCAATAAAGCATAATGTGCAATTTCATGGATTAGCATACTTTTCACATTTTTCCTAAAGTAACTAGAGTTGGGATTTTGAAAATAATGTTCTAGTACTTTCTTTAATATCATTATACTTTTAATGAGAAGTAGTTGTCCTATCAAATCCGTTCTGCTAACGACCCTCCACTAATCAAGGAAGCGGTGGGTGAGAGTGGACACCCATTCAACTACCATTTTATAGGCAGTTTCCTTATACCCCCCTTATAGATTAGCTTCGTGAATGAGGCATACTAGCGATTTGACTGACCATATTCTTATACATATAATATTAAACCTTTAATTATAATATATATATAAGGTGTGTTTTAAAACTTTTTAAAACTTCAAGGGTTATATAAATTTCGAAATTTAAGCTGTTAAATTCAAATTTAAATAAACCAATTAACTAGATTTAATATTTATCTATTAATTAACTATTAATCAAATTATTAAATCTTGTAAGGATTATCTAATTAAATTAATCAATTAATTTAATCCTAATCCTTATCCCTCTAATTTCGAAAAATAGGGTAAGGATAATTATCCAATTAATCTAATTAAGTAACAATTATCCAAAAAACAAGAAACCCTAGTTATCCTCTAGCATATTTCGAAATTTACAAGGGAGGAGGCTAGGGTTTTCAAAACCCTAACCCTAATTTCGATTAGGGTTCTTTGGAGGCTAGGGTTTTCGAAAAAACCCTTTGATCCAAAACCCTAGAAATCGAAAATTTGGCCTTTAGGGTTTAATAGCTATAAACCCTAATTTGCAATTCAACAATTGTAGCAATTCAATTTAAAACAACAATGGCTCTGATACCACTGATGGGTTTTAGGTAAAACAAATAAACTAGAAAAACAATTCCTAAGTTCACATGCAACCTACTTTGGATCTATGTTTTAACTATTGAACATACAACTTTGAATTGCAAAACAAGAACCCTAGAGGAGAGAGGCTATTTCGAAAATAGTAAACTAGGGTTTAGGGTTTACATACCTTTCAATTGTTATAGCAAACAATTGATATTCCCTTGATCTTGATCTTGATCTTCTTGGAAGCTTTAGCACCACAAGTGTAATGCCTCTAATGGAGTCACACCCAAACTAGCAAGAAGGAAAGTAGAAGAGAGAGAGAGGAGAGGGAGTATGCAAAATCTCGGCCTTAGGGTTTCTTCAAAAGAAAGAGTGACCAAAAACATGAACCAGGAGGCTCCTTATATAGCTGAGGGATCTAGGGTTTAAGGGAAACCCTAGTTATCCTTTGCTTAGGGCCTAAGCAAACCCAAGGGCCTTATCCAAGCCCCTATGGACGAAATTATTAGGGTTTCCCCTAAAGATTTCGTCCACCCTCTTCCAAGGGGGTTCTAGAGCCTTCCACTCAACTATTAGATAATTGCAAACTAGTCCCTGCACCTTATAATTAATTCTTTTAACCCCAAAATCAATTCTGATTAATTTCTGGCTAACAATTAATTAAACATAATGATTTCTAATTAATATATTAATCCATTAACATATTAATAAATCATTTATATATATATATATATATATATATATATATATTAATTTATTAATTTTATAAATTAATATCTCTCCTTTCATAATTTCCTTGTCCAGTTGCTAGGTTGAGGGCAACCCAAAAGGACTGTGCTGCTGTCAATTCAAGTACATACCAATTATAGTTATGGGCTTAGACACCTAATCCAACAATGTCATGGTCCACTCATATGTGTGTGATGTGGTTGTCCGGATCTGTGGTGCCGTCGTACGTTTTGAGGTGTGGTAGTTTGGCGGTGTTGGGGATTTCGTATTCCAACAGTTCTTTGACAAACGGTGACGTGACGCTTCGGGAAAGGCAATCTTGGTTTGGCGTCCGCTGAACAAAGTGGTACCCCCGTTGTTGCATTGCCAAGAAGGGCTGCACTAGCATGTTGTTGTAGGCTGTAAGGTCTGGCGTTGCTGGGTTGTAGAAATCTGACGGCTGAAACGGAATGGGGAGTGTTTGAGCCATGGGTATTTGTTGGTAAGGCGTGAATGGCGGTGCTGACATGGTACCCGTTACCAATGGTGGGTGGTTTTGTGGTTGTGGTATCACTGGTATGACGCTTGGGCCAGTTGTGGTGTAGCTCGTTGGTGTTACTTGTGTGTGTGTGTGTGGGCAAGTTGTTTACTGGTGGCGTTATGGGGGTGGTTTGTTGTGAGTCATTGGTGGTATGAGCGAATGGTGGTAGAGGGCTGTGGCCGTTGTTTTTAAATCCGATGGTGTTAGGGAAGAACGGTGGCGTACGGTGCACAGTGTAAGGATTAGGTATCCCATTATTTGGGAATGGGAAGGGGTTGCATAGGGCGGTATGGGCAATGGTGTTTGGTTCTGAGCTACAACCGACGGCGTGGTTGCTATGAGAAGTGACGGTGGGCCGCCGGATGGTGGTGTTACTACAAGAGGAAATGGCGGGCCACCGGATGATGGTGTTGCTAAAGAGGAAGGTGGCGGGCCACCGGATGATGACGCTGCTACAGAGGAAGGTGGCGGGCCACCGGATGATGGCGCTGTTGGAGTGTTGTCTGCTTCCAACGACGCCATCGGATGTATTGGGCTATGTGGTGGTTCCGATGACTCACCCATCGTGTTGTTTGTCATGTGGCTAGAGAAAAAGGAAGGGTTTGTGTATCTATTGTCACACAAACGGATGGCGCCAAATGATGCGACCTAGGTTCCAACCACTTGGGCTACTAGTTCTGATCGCCGGAGGGAAACCTGAGAGGTCACAAGGAAAAGGAAACCGTCAGCCCGCTCTCCGGGAGGAGGTCCCGGAAAAACGCTCCGACGGTCAAGTCAGTAGAGTGAATAAGTATAGAGGCTAAGGAATCGGGAAGGATAGCTTACTCATCAAGGCAAGGTGAACGTCCTTTTATACTGAGGATCCTCCTCGATCCGCATGAGAGACAAGGACCTGCGATCCCGACAAGATCCATCGTCCTTATTGGTGGATCGTGTTCCTCATAGTGTCAGAGCTAACAATTGGTTCAAGTGATAATGCTCTGGATGTGCTTCTTGTCGCCTGGAGCCGTTGTCTTTGGACTGTAGCGAATGACAATATTTGGCGAGGGCGAGGCTCTTGCGCGGTCGCCCTGTTGGAGTCCCTGGCGGCCAGGATTGCCGAGTCGGGTTTGGTCAGGCCTCGCCGGGGACTCTCTTAGTTCTGGCCCGCTCTGAGGGCGTGTCAGCAATATATATATATATATATATATATATATATATATATATATATATATCTATATATATATATATATATATATATATAAGAGGTGATCATATACATTATACGACTAACGGTTAAAAATAGCAACAATTATAAATAACGTAAAATTAAAAACTTACATTATGTTACCTTTAAAAAGGTGAATGATATTTGAAATAATAATTATGATCAGATATAAAAAAAATGTTCATATAAGTTATATTTAAAATAATTAACCTTAACGATGACTAAAATTAATATTAAATAAAAAATTAAATTTTTTTTCACATGCAAGCTGCAAGCTACTGACATATATCGTTGAGATGTTATGATTTTAAAAGAGGTCTATTTAAATTTTTTAACCATAATAATAGTTAAAAGTAATTATAATTCTAAAAATAAATTTGTTTTTTATTTGAATGTGCAACACACATATAAAACTATTGAGATGATATGCTTTTAATATTTATCTATCTTATGGTATAAATAATTACATTATTTTATAACAACTAAACACAAGAGTCATTATTTAAAGTTAACGACATAATTCTAACGACATAATTCTTTAATAAGATATATTTGTCCACTTTTAATTATATTACATTTTGTACATATTACATTTTGTACAACATACAGACATTCGCCTAGTAATATATATATATTATGTGTTATACGGTTGTCATTTTATACAAAATAGCAACACACTTTAAACTTTATGTAGGATAAAAATGATTAGTTTATTATAATAGAGGTATATTATCATAATGAAAGTCAAATTAATTGTCATATCAAATATGAAATATGTTCGAAAATTGGCCAAAAGATGGACAAAACGAAATGCGTGTCATTGTCATGTTCTACATAGTAAATGGGGCCTAAAGAAACAAAGGTCTTTTGGTCTCACTTTTTTTATTCTATAAAATGACAAACAACTCCAAAGCCTACATAGCCAAACAAGTAAAGTTTATATTTATTTTGGGACATGTTTTACACAAGTTGAGTTCTAAAGACTTAAAGGCTTGCATTGAATCACATACACTTGTCCATCTTGCACTACTCCTTCAATATCTTGGGGACATTCGTATAAGTCTTCTATAATCTTTGCAGCTTCCGCAATCTTTGAGTGAATCGAGGCTTGAAAATGTAGATCAACCACCATTGGGTCTCTCGAGTAGACCAACACAACTTCCTCCTTGTTTTCCATTGATATACTGCAAAACGTTTTAGCTGTAATCACAACCTTGTACTGTGTTTGGCATTGGCATGAGACATGCATTGGACAAGAACCAAGGCCAATGTCCATGGTATAAAATAACAACTTTTTTGCCCATCCAAAAGGTGGGATAGAGAATCGTTCTCAATCTCTCGTTTGTGCAAAAGACATAAATGCCCTCTCTGCATATGGCCCGTGGAATTTACACTAAACCCTTAACTAACTACATATTTATGCAAGAAAATGTTTTTTTGGACGAACTATGCAACCACATTTCATTCTAGGACAAAGGTATGCAAAATTGTAACCTAACGACATTGACACCAATTAAATGTTTATATATGCAAACAATGTTTCACTTTTTTTTTTACTAATTTATGCGAATGATACGAAATATGCAACCATGTTTCAACTCATTAAGCAGCTAAGCGATAAAATATTGCATCTTTTGGTTCTAAAATATTTCATATAAATATTACATACCTGTCATATATACCATGACATGCATATCTGTTTGTCTTTTCGGATATGAAATCTGGCCTAAAGATGATTGACCTCTTGTTCTTTGCATATAATCCAATGGACTTGCTTGGGTAACAAGTAACCTGAAAGTCACATTACAAACTAGTCATGAAAATGAAATCCAGTTTTCATAGGCATATATGTGCATGTATATGATCTTACAATAGGTGATTTAAGCTCAGATTTCTTAGTAATAGAACTCATAGCACGCCCTGTTGAAGCACCAACTAATGTTTCAACTGACCCCTTGACTATCTGTTCCAAACCAAAAGTAAGTCAAAGGGACCCACCAAAACTTTAATCCATGTAATTGATATCAAATTAGACAAAATGGTCTAAAATGACTAAACTACCCCAACTTATATCTATTTTGTGGTCAACATTAGAACCAAAATTGAAAAATCAGATTAATACCCAGGGACCAAAAATGTAAGAACATAGAAGAAACTTTGAACTAGAGTGAGACTGACACTGACGTCAATGGGTCAAAGATTGGTCCCACCTCCCAAAGGTGTAAAAGACATGAATGCCCTCCTCATTCTCATAATTGAAAATGGCCCTAAACAAAAACAGCCATAAATATGAGACTTACCTCTGTGTATATCTGTGAGGAGTCACGAGACACAGGATGATTTGTGTATGTGACAAAGGCATAATCAGCTCTAATATGTTCTTGAATCAAAATACCAATGCATAATGTATCATGATTCCTGTTTTTATATGCTCTTTCATTCCATTTAGAACCCCAAACCTGGATAGCAGACGTTAAAACCATTCCAATTTTTTATTCAAAATTTCAATAGGTTTGACCATAAAGTCAAACCCCGCAACTACTTTTTGGGAAAGGGGATTTACCTTCTTTATTGCTTGCCAGATTTGATTCCATGTATCCTCTGTGGGACCTTGAGGCCATGGTATTCTTGAACTCTTCATTTTCTTCCTAACCTCAATGCTCTACAAATTTACAAAATTCAGAGCTTTTTCAGATTTTGTTGCAATTAACATTAGAAATCTCAATATAGGAATGAGTAAATTACACGAATGGTCCCTATGGTTTGGGGTAATTTGCGTGTTTAGTCCCTAACTTATTTTTTTAACTCGGAAGGTCCCTACTGTTTGTTTTTGTTACGGGCTTGGTCCCTACTGTTTGTTTTTGTTACGCGCTTGGTCCCTGTCTTACCTAAAAAGACAATTATTTGAATAGGAAAAAATGGTGGGGTAGGTAAAATAAGGTGAGGGGTGAGGTTGGTGGTGTGTTTATTTAAATAAATTAAAAAATCAAGGACAAAATAGTCTTTTTAGGTAAGATAGGGACCAAGCGCGTAACAAAAACAAACAGTAGGGACCTTCCGAGTTAAAAAAATAAATCAGGGACCAAACATGCAAATTACCCTAAACTATAGGGACCATTCGTGTAATTTACTCTATAGGAATATCACATTCTTTATCATGAAATGAAAATGAACATATAAATTCATAATGACCATGTATAATTCAAAATCAAGTATTAATAAATTACCATTCTACGAGGAGCTTTCATTTGCAAAATAGTTTCTTGAATCATCTTAAGCTTTGAAACGTCTCCCCTATCTACATCTTCACAAAGGCAAGCAATTTTTGTTGCTAATTCCTGAAAAAAAATTGATCAATTAATATAAAAGCTTTAGTAAAAGAGACTGATATATGTAACCAAAACACTTGGTAAAAAAACTGTTGGGAGATATGTGTGATACTAAGAATCAACTTGTTGTGATCATATACTTAATTTCACTCATAGAAAAGGCCAAGGGTGAAAAAACGCACAAATTTTTCATGAACAAAAACATGGCAAACCTTATTTATGTCTTCTGATAGAACTTTTTCAAATACTCCAAAAGGAAGGACAACTGATGCTGGAAATTTTATCCATGCTGGCATCTTGTTACTCAAGAATATAATGCTGTTTGACTTTTCACCAACCTGTGTTACCACACTGTCCATATCATTTTGTTTTCTTGTCAACACATATCATTCTATTTTTTATGATGAGGATGAGAAGGGCATTCACGTCTTTTGCACAAACGAGAGATTAAGCATACCATCTCATTGCAGGCTTCTTCAAGTGAAATAGCATACATATTGCTGACAATGTTGTTCTTTTGAGAGAGTCCTTTCCAAGTGGAGGAAGATGTAGATAGTTTTGGAAAGAAAACAGAGTTGCAGAGGTTTCTGTCAATTAAAAGAAAATGTTAAAATTTTGAGTAATTAAGAAACATGCTCCTTCAGAAGTTAAACTTGTTGGATACAGATAGAATGTACCTGTGTCTTAATGGCTTTTCAATCTCCTCATCAGACATTTCATTCAGTAAGCATTTAGAGCTTCTTGCACCATCATCTTCAACCTGAAAAAATGAAATTAAAATCATAATCTAGATACTATGAAAGTATGAAGTAGAGTTTGAAAAGAAAAAGATACTTGCATCGATTTGTTCATGTAAATTGATGTGGAAGCTTACTCCATTCATCTTCAACCTATAAAGGCAAAACTACAGTACATCAGAACCAATTAATAAACTAACATACAATAAATTTTTAAAAAATAGATAAACCATTTATCGTGTTTGGTATCTTTTAGAACAAATTCAATGGCGTGTATCTTAGGATCCCTTAGCTCAATGTTAACAACATATGCATCTCCCTCCTACAAGTGAAATACTCAATAATGAAGCTAGAAAAGTACAGTTTCAAGTTTGAACAATAAGGCAATGATAAAGGACAAACCTTTATAAATGGGGTTCGCAAAGCACTTTTCTTATGAACTCTTGTCCCAGAAGGAATAAAAGAGGGAATAAACCATTTTCTGCAAGAAAAATCAAAATCCAAATGACATAAGAAAGCAACAAGGTTTGAAGTTTAAAAGGTTTCAATCACTTGTTTCCATTGGAAATGCAACCCCAGTGGAGAATCCATGGATGTGAGCAGTTTTGAAGTTGAAGTTTCACTTTTGCATTGTGCCCACTTTTAAATCCAGATACATCAACCTATCGATTAAAAACATTGCTTCCAGATCAGAACTATACTTTGACTTCTGAGGTCAAATAGGTTTACCTTCTAAATTTAAAGAATCATACACTTATTTCATATCCTCAAGAAACAATTGATAAGTACACTAATTTATATTGGATGATACACATAGATGAATGTTGGTGTTAGCCTTTTTAGTTTTTACCTCATTCATACCAATTTTGAGCATGAAAAAGATAACATATTTGACCTTAAGACTGGAATTGCTCATGTGGGTGATGAAAAATGTGAACTACTACTACTAACCTGAAGTATCATTTCATTTTGGAGTTCAAAAAGTTTAACTTGAGTACATTTGCTAGACTTCAAGGATGCCATAGTGTTTGATCTTTGAACACCTGAGAATCTGATAAAACTGAAGTCTGAAGTATGTTACAAACCACAATGAGGTTGAAAATATTCCCAGATTACTCAATTTTGAAGCAAAGACTCACATTCCCCATGATTCTAGAGGACAGGAATATTTTAGAATAAAGCATAATAATAATACTAGTTACAATAATAATAATAATAACGATAATAACAGTAGCCCAGAAGCAACATTACATTTCTTCTACTCCATCCTATCACACCAAATACAACATAAAACATAATGAAAAAAAGGAAAAAAATAAATACAGAATGAAAATGAATTACACAAGTAAAAAGGCTGATAGGATTATTTGAGATTCTGTTACGTGGCAAATTCTAGAAGGTACAACAATAGAACAGAACACCTCCCCCTTTTTTATTGTACCCTTTTTTTCTATACTTTTAATAACTACCATAAATTATCAGCAACTAGAGATGAAACCCTAAACATGAATCACTGAGTAAGAAGCTTGGAGTCACATGCCACTATTTTAACTTGACCAACATTCTCCTGGGTTTCATCATACTTGAAGATGGCATCTTGAACAATGAAAGTCCACACATTATCACAGAATCTGTAGGTGTGCAAGTGCCCCTATTATCATAAAAGTAAGAAATTTTTAGAAACATGTTAAGAAAAAATGGTATGTGTTAATGAGCTTTTTACCTTTATGGTCACCTTGCTTTTAACTTGACTATCAAGAGCTTCTGTCATTGACTGCAATCATTACAACACTGTAATCACCAACTGAGACTTAAATCCACACCATACATACTCCATTAAAGGAATGATCCACCTTTAATTCAAATCTTAAACTATACAATTTATTGATAACTTGTTAATTTATCATATGACAACTCTACAGTCTACACTTCCCATTTGGTCAGATCCACAAAGGAAACACATCTACTTCTATCCTTTTAAAAATCGAACCTTTATTTCCTAGCTACAGCCTACAATCATTTACTAAACGAATTTAAACTAGATTTTGGCAAACGGGGAACATAAAGCATATTTCCAAAGTCTAATCATTTTAGCGTTTCCCTTTGTGGAACGGAGAGTTGAGACGGGATCTATTCAAGGTAGGACATACAGAAACACAATTCAGTAAATTATATGGAAATTTAAGACCTTATCGAACTGAACAAGGACTTGAATTGCAAGCTCCGGACTAAGAACCCCATTCGAAACCATCTCATCCAATGTTTCCGTCAAGCACATACCAATTGTTGATCGGCGGTATAATTCAAAAGTTGCCATTCTTCTTACTGATCAAGATCTGTAAGATGTAAAAAAATGATCTTAATAAGCCTGAAATCAAGAAATAAGTAATCGTTAACCTGAAAAACCTAAATTGTAAAAATATTGGAACGTTGGAGATGAATTTGTAGATTTTGTAGCGAATCTTGGACATTTATAGTTGAAAATGAAGGGCGAAAGAGAGTAATTTCTCACCTGAGTTCGTTGTAGAACAGTGGAGGGAGAGAGATTGGGGGTTTTTATACCTAGAAGTTTGTAGCTGCTGGCTTATATATAAGGGGACACGCGATCAGATGTAATAGCTATACGTACAATGACAAAATTACCCCTACTCTAATTTATTTATTTATTTATTTTTTGTATTGTGATCTGTGAATATGTGGGTCATTAATATTGGCAACAGTGTTGTTTTTCAAAGCATGCGGAAGAGATGTCCGAGAAGTGGTAGGTAATCAACTAGTTTTTCATTAAAACGTACGGTTTTTGTCATTTATATTTCAATCGGTTTTTTAAAATTTTTAATCGGTGGTGCATGATCGGTTTTAATAGGTTGAACTGATTGGTCCAGTTTTTTTAAGGTACACGATCCGACCCGACCCAACCCCACACAAGTGTTATTGATTTTTTTTAGTGGCTTCATTTAATTTGGGAACCATGTGATTTTTTGGTCTAGATTCGCCACTGGTAGGGAGTCGGCTGAGTTGGAGAAGCTGTCAAGTATGATAACAGGTACAACTTTGTATAGAAAGGCAGATTCATGGGAGTGGAAGGCTGGCGAGTCCAATAATTTCTCTGTTAAGTATCTTAGAGATTTAATGGATAATAATTTGGATATCCATAATCATATAGGGGATTTTCATTGGGTGAAATGTGTTCCAATTAAAGTGAATTGTTCGGTTTGGGGGTTGCTTTGCAATAGAATTCCGGTGGCTTGCAAGCTTGTGAGAAAAGGAATTTTGTTGGATTCTGTTACTTGTCACTTCTGCGGGCATACAGAAGAATCAGTTGAGCATATTTTTATGCAGTGCTCGTTCTCAAAGAAGATATGGTCTTTGTTTAGTAATTAGAGTGGTGTACTGCCTTGCATTCCCAATAATTGTGATGAGGTTAAAAATGTTTTGATTTCCTCGGGTATTGATAAGAAGAGACCGAAGCTCAAGCTGATGTTAATATACTCTGTGTTGTGGAGTATTTGGATAACTCGTAATGACTTGGTTTTTAAGAAAAAGATATGCTCTCCTCTCAAGGCGGCGAATGATATTCAAATCCTTACGTTCAATTGGGTATAGAATAGATCGAAGTTTAATTTTATCTCGTAGTTTAATTGGTGTATTTCTCCTTTATATGTTTGTAATTTGTAACTCTTTTTTGTGCCAGCGTCTTGCTAGTTTATATTGCATTTGTCGTTCAAAAAAAATCAAAATGGGGGCAATATTCGAAGATCCAAATAAGAAATGGATCAGTTGACTTTGAATATCTGGTCAACTGAATCGATAAAATAAACTGTAAACGCTTCATTCAAACAAAGAATCATATGGTTTAAATATTATTTGCCGGCTTAAACATGCTTTAAACATGATATTATGGTCCAATATCATATTTAGAAAACCACTAGTGATCAATATAGCCTATTTTCTTTGTGATATTTTGTCATGTTTATTACTTTTCGTGTTTTCATTCCATGGTTGATCGCACGAAAATTGCAACTACCCTAAACGTCTTTTGGAGAACAGTACCAAAAGCTGGCTGGATGAAGTGACTTTCGTGAAGTTGAATCATCATTGAAAATCATTCATCGTGTCCTAGATTTTTTGATCGTCTTGTTGTTGATTAATTCTTAGTATTCAATTATCACATTCACTGTCTAATAAATTCGAACACAAATCCATTTTAGTAAAGTAAGAAAGCATATTTGAAGGATAACCAATCTCCAAATAAACATTTCATGTACAATATGAAGTCAATGAAAAGAATTACTACAAAATGTTCATAAGGCCAAATATTAGTGAAATATTCCAAAATCATTCCACTTGGCCAAATGACCATTTGTGATGAGTATTTGTAGGTTTGACCAAAGTTATACACATCAAGTTTCATATTAAAGCCATATCGGAAAGAGCCTGATTTTATCAACACGAGACCTACATCATGCATGCTAAGGTCTCAACATAAAACACTTACAAAACTTAAGGCAAGATGGCGGAAAATACAAAACATTGAATTGTATGGATTCGTCTATAGATTAATACATGCATGCATACGTTACTATAGACAAAAACAACTAAAATATTTAAGGAAAATATAATTATATTGATTGTCAATAAGAGCAATATGTTATAATATATAGCTCTAGTAAAACTCATTTTCGTTACAAACTCTTGGAAAAACATTAGGCATAAGAGCAATATGTTATAATATATAGTCTAGTAAAACTTATTTTCGTTACGAACTCTCGGAAAATGTTAGTCGATAGGCACTGGATCCGTAAACATATCATGGGTGCTAATGTATTCAATACAAATAATATTTTTCTTCTACTCGTTCTCGTATGTGGAAAATAACTTAGTATCAAAATATAATCCGACCCCACTCGAACTATTGTTGTTTGAAAAACTAATGACAACATAATTGTCACAATAAATCTTTAAATCTTCAATGATCTCGATATGAAGTTAGTGACTTTGAGTCCACTAATAAGATTTTGCAACAACATCTGGTTGCAAGTTGCATTTATAAACCGCAACACATTATGCCATTATTGTCGAGCCCGTCGTTAGTTATTGCTTATGACTAATCCACAAGATAGGCCCGCTTGCTAACATAGAGATGCACCCCGAAGTTGACTTTTATTGCCTTAGCATTTAGCAAAGTAGTCACTTCTAATTTATCAGTTCTTTTATAAGTTAGTTCATACTCTTTTGTCCCTCGAAGATATCATAATACTTTTTTTAAGTTTTCCGATGATCAAAATCAAGATTAGATTGACATCATTCTAGCATTCCAACAAAATAAGTGATATCATGACGAGTACAAACTTGAACATACATTAGGCTTCCGGTATAAAAACATAAAAACATAAGGTATCAATTTCTTTTGTTTCTTTTCCACCTATGTTTTTGGCATTGAAAAGAACAAAAAACGTCTCTTTAACTACGGGAGCAACCGAAAGCATTGTTGCATGTTATAACATTGAAGAAACGTTCAATATAAGCCTTTTTAGACAATCATAACGTCCTATTTAGAAAACTATCAGTGATCAATATAGCCTCTTTTCTTTGTGGCATTTTGTCCGTTCATACGAGATCACTAGGCCAACTAAATTCAAGTCAAAGGTCTTAATGTCTTATACTAAATCAAACTTGATTTATCAGCTCAATATGCCTTCTTGATAAAAGCTTGAGTTTGATTCAAGAAATATTCTAAATTCGAATGATTGATAAATGAAATGGGTAAAATTTCCTTTTTGCCCTTCACTACCATTAAGTCAAAATTTCAATGAGTTAGAGGATAAACTGGGAGCAAGTACGCAAGAGGATTGCGAAGAATGCAGAGTACTTCCCTAAAAAAATGGGTGAACAGTGAAATGACCTTTTTGCCCTTCGAGCCACTATCTTTAGGTCAAATTTTCAAAAGAGTATTTCCCATTAAATTTAAATCTTTTTATATATACCGAATAAAACAGAATGATCACCAGCAATGTCTGGGATGATACAAACTCGAAATCAAATGGCAAATATGTATATATATATATATATATATATATATATATATATATATATATATATATATATAGTTTTCTATATGTAAATATTTTGACACATGAGACTTGATAAGATCTCAACCTTTGACTTTTTACTTCAGTTGACCGATGTCTGGTTTTCTTTGAAAAGAAGCGATCCAAGAAGAATGGCAATGCCGGTTATGGCTATGGTGAATAAAAGCCGCCTGGTAGAGAAGTCTTGTGGTGGTGGTGGTGGCGGCCTTCTGGCGGCATGCTCTCTTTCAGCTTCCCGTATAGCCCTTCATAAAACATCATCCATGAGTGTTAGAACAGGAGTAGATTCACATGTCTGTTTCGTTGGATTCTGTGGGATTTGGCCGGAATTGGAGTTCAATTCCATTCCAACCACATTTGGTTGCAAACGAGTATGGAATGGAATTCACAAAATTCTTTGCCGGACGAATTTCAACATTCCTTCCAAAAACCCATGGAATTCAATTTTGTATCCATTTGCAACCAAAACATGATTGGAATGGAATTGAATTCCAGTTCCAGCCAAATCCGTGGATACCAGTGAATAGCTAGCAATTAATTAACACATAAGTTTAGAACTAATTTCTAATCTACTTACAAATTTGTCCAAAATCAATCATTCTTTCAAAACATTTTGTTTTCTTTCTCTTTCATTCATCTGTAAAAATGATGATCTTTTTTTTTTTTTTGCAAACCAAAACTGTGTGAGGTGGTTTGACAAGTTAACTCACTCTTTCTTCTTCCCATAAAAGCATCATCATTTACATTAAAGAAAAAAATCCAACATATTATATATTTGGAAGAAAAAAAGAAAATAAATCTAAACCTTGGAATTTCAGCTGTATTATTAGGAACACCGTTGCATGTGACTTCATGGGCAATTCTCTCTCTGAGTCTAATATATCTGTTACAGAGATGACATAGCTCTGTCCTATTTCCACAAACTTCCTGAAATTATAGCATTCTTGGTAATACTAATAAAATAATAATAATAATAATAATAAGAGTAAATTACATTTTTGGACCCTGAGTCTAGCTGATTTTGCAATTTTGGTTCCAAAAATATAGTCATTTTACTTGGAAGAGGCACAAGATTTGCAAATGAAAAGTTTTGGGGGGGCAAAATTGAAAAAAAAACGGCTCTAAATATGTAATTTGCTCTAATAATTAACAATAATAATAACCTGATGCTCAGATAGATCGGTGGCAGGCAAAGGAAACTCGCAATAATCACATGTCACAATTCTTTTCGGACACTTTTCACCTTTGTGCACAGCTAGGATTTCGCGTTCCATCATCTCATTGCACAGTGAACAAGATACCTGTCCCAAGGGCAGTTTGGTCATTTGATACATACATGGTCAATTGGCAATTAGGAATCCATTATCCATCACAACGATTTTTAAGGCTCCATCTGTATGACAACACAGTTGGTACTGTGTTTGGCATGTACTGGACTTGAACACAGACTGATGTCAATATGACAAAAATAACAAAAAAA